CGGGCGCGGGGCCGGGGGCTCCTCCCGCACCCCCGGGCCCCGTTTCAGGCGCTTCTGTGCTGGGAAGGCGGGTCCGTGGGGAGGGGGCTGGGTCAGGCCGCCCCCGGGCAGGGCAGCAGCGGGTTCCAGCAGCACCGGGCGTGCAGGGCGGTTTCAGAACCACTTTTGTTTGGCATAGAACAGCTGTCCAAACCGAAGCTTCGTTACTTCATATTTTAATGTCATAATGAACTGAAAATAAGGGTTTCTTTGCTCCCCTTTTCCCGTATTAGACACATCAGCGATCATCATAAAAACGCTCAGACCCTGCCTCACAACAGCTGCAGGCAGAGCCCACCTATTTTGCACAACATAACAGTCCCCAAACCATATATTAAAAAAAAAATAAAATCAACCCTAAACAAAAAAAACCCACCAAAACCAACAACAACAACAAAAAACAACAAACCACAAACCTTTTTTAAAAAGCAAAAAGTTCCTAGAAGAACTAGTGTGGTCCCATAACAAAGTCACTTAACATTCAGTCATTTTCCCCCTCCAGCAAAAGCCAAAGCTGAACTTCACCTTCTTGCCAATGTCAATGTAACTTCATTTTAGCAAAATACACAGGTTGCACTTCTCAGTATCAGAACAAACTCCTGCATCAAATTCCTTGATGGTGATGAGCTCAGTGGAAAGATCAGGAACACATTAGCTAGAACAAACCAGCTGAACACAAAAGGAAGGGCACTTAGAATTTCCTGTGCAATCTCTCTAGGTCAAACAGATTCAGGTTCACCAGTTGAGACAAAAGCATTCACTGAAAGTTCAGTGCTCATTTTTAATATCAAAACCCAGCAGCTGGTGTTCAGGTAACTAAGGAAGCCCCAGGCGAGAACTGATGCCAGCAAACACTTGTCAAGGCTTCTCTGTACATCATCAAAAAGGAAAACCAGGCAAACAGCTACAAAAACCCCTCCTTACAGGTCCCTTCCACAGTCAACCCTTTTCTTTGCAGCAAAGCAACTGTGGCCTAAGAACACACAGAGCCCTCCCCCCAGCCATAAACAGGACTGATCCAGCCAACATGGAGACATTTCTGAGGCAGATTTGTCACCACCTGGAAGATAGAACCAGTGTCCATGGCTCCTCTTCCTCCAAGCCTTGGTCTGCGTAATTTCTCCTTGATTTCATACATCCCTTTGCTCACATCTTTTCCATTAGCTGGAGAGATTCCCTCTTCCCATTCTGCCCTTCCTACCAGTTACTCTGTCCTTCACCAGGCTCAAGTTTTGAGTATTTACATGGAAACACTGTGGTTATCAGCAACACTAGAGGCAGCCCATAAGCAGCTGCTGAGCTTAAAAACATGCAAGGGTTCACAACAGAGAAGCCTGTCTGCACAGACCAGGTGCATGGTCCCTATCTACCATCTCCTTTCATGAAAAAGAAAGGTCATCATGGGTTCAGAGCAGTAATGAAACACAAAGGTTGACTGGCAAAAAGACACTGGTTAAATAAATTTTATCAGGATCCTGAGAAATGGATGTGACTGTTTGAAGGCCCTGGAAGGGATATGAATGAAAGCACATGTTAAAATGAATTATTACACTGATCAGACATTGCAGTCATTTACTCCAAACAGTATTTTTATGAGACATGTTTAGATATTCAATAATTAAATATAAAATCAAGGATGAGTGTCACCAAACAAGGCAATAAGGCTTGAAGCTCAGTCAGTTCCTAGATTACCCTTCTAGTCACTGTACCTTTCATTTCATCTTTAATTTTACACTGCTATTCTTACACATACTAAAGCAGTCAGAAAAGTTAATTGCAGATTCCTTGCTTTTGTGAAGCCTCAAACCTACTTCAACTTAGTACAAAAACAGGGGGAAAAAAGGAAACACATTTGTTTCTTAAAAAGCAGAAAGGGGAAGAGATTCATAGACATTTTGGACTGACAGGACCTAGGAAACAGGGACAATGCAAACAAATTTTCAGACCATCCAAATGCAGCAGACAATGTTTTTACTCCCTGTTCTGTTTACCAGCAGGTGATGTGCTAGCATGATTCCTTAGTTAGAATTACTGGCAATCAAAATGAATGCCATAGGCAACAAGAAAAAATTGCAGCTGCACACTGATCAAACCTTCTTCCTACCTAGAGGGGGTATCAGGTAAAAAAGCTGAATGTAACAAGTCAACCATGTGCACATCCACATACACAATAAGAACATTCAAAAGTATTGACATGAGACAGTGATCCTATAGTTTTCCTTTTCTCTTTCATTTACATATATATATAGTTAAACAGCACATAGGAAAACACCACTACAGCTTTCACCGTGGCCAACAGGAGAGTTCTCACAAATATAAAAGTGTGTGTTCTTAAATCGTTACATTTCTTCAAAACATAATACAGATAAAATGAAAGAAACAGAATTTTTCATCATGTAACAACAACAACAAAAATTTAAACCCTTGGGAATTTACACAATTCTCAAAACACCCAACTTTGCAGTCCTGAAGACCTCAATCCCTACTACAGCAGAACATGGTATCAACAAAATAAACCAGCTGAATTCCTTGAGAGCAGTGACGCTACTTGGATACCCTGGGAAATTTCACTGCACTGGAACATTTACCTTAGATTTACATTCAGTATTTTAGAGGAAGGGAACATCATAGTCCCTTCATGCTTCATCCTTGCTGGCTGCCTACCCAGGAAGCTTTATTGTTATTACTTCAAGAGGAAAGGAAAGGTGCTGGTAAGAGCCAGAAGGGCAAGGCAATGATGCTGATTATGAGATGCCCTGTTCTTTGGATGAACTCTGTAAAATACTTGGTTAAAAGGCTCCATGTTAAAAATATTATGAACAAAAAGGTTGTCTTAAAAATACAGAGCATTTCTCCCTCTTCAGTTCAAAGCCCTGGGGAAAAATGTTTTGCTAGATTCAACGACAGGTTTGCTGTAATCAAGATGTATGACAATGCCCTGGGTCAGCCAGGACCACCCACAGCCTCCAGACACAGGTGATTGCTTCAAGTGGAACGTGCACCTCCATTTCTGTAAAAAAGGAACAGGGACACTTCTGGAACCTTCACTGCAGAGTCTTTGCCAGTGTCCAGCTTTTGGGCAGAGGCAATCTTGCCACACTGCAGAGTCACAAACTTGAGGATCAGAAGAGAAGGTACAAAGGATCATGACTCCGTGTCGGAGCCGGAGCTGCTCTCTCGGCTGATCTCGATCTGCAGGGACGGCAAATGATCCAACCGGCTCTTCTTCTGCCGAGACTGTTCCTTCTCCTTGATGAGAGCACCCCAGACCCTCTGGAGCTCTGAATCATCCTCCTCTGGAGATGCCACAGAGTTTTCAGGTTTATCCGGAGTCTTTTCTTGTGTCTTCGGAGCAGACCCTAATCGGGTCCATAAATTTCCTAATTAGATGAAAAACAAACATGTATTATTTTTCTTTAAAAGACAGGGCTAAGAGGAATCCTGGAGAAAGTCTGAGGAACCTCCTCTTCAATGAGCTGCATCTCTTTTAATCTCCTTCTACTCCCCCCCCTTGACGTTTGGAACTTACTGTGCTTTCAGCAGCAGCTGAAATTTAAACAGGGGAGGCTCAGTGCAGCCTTCTCCACTGTTTCCCATGCACAGAGAATGCTGAATGCAGGTCTGAGGTGCCACTGCATTCACTACACCTGATTCAGTACCCTGTTTTGACCACAGTTTTAAAGCATTCCTCTACTTTGAAACATACTTATATAAAAACGTTGCTCATAAGTCATCAACTCAACCTACCTACATATATTTACAAAGCTCTGAACAAGCACTTGCTAATACATCTTAAATTTCACTCAACTGATCATCTTGCATGATTTTCTGCTGAAATGTCAATATGCACTGTAAAAATCAAAGGCATTGCAGTGTTTTCTCCATAAAACCAACCTGATTTCTTCTCTCTGGTGTCAGAGTAGAGGCCTTTCACATCTTGTTTGGGGATCCCTAGCCGGCTGTGTACGTCTGATATTGGTTCTCGACGGGGAGCAGAGGTGCTACTTGGAGGTTTGATTTCTGGAGAGTGTGGTCTTTTTCCCAGCCTTTGTCTCACATCTAGGAAGATTTACAGTGATTAAAACAACAACAACCACAATGCAGTTACTTCAACTTCTGCCTACTCATTTTATGCTCCTTGCACAACCTCAAGAACTCAGAACTACACACTTTCTCTAGTTTCCATCTTTTCTGTAGTCTTTTCATTTAAAACTTTCTCATTTCCATCTCAGACCTGGCAATGTCTGCAATAAAATCTATCCAGATTTTTCTCTTTTATTTTTTGGCAGCGAATTTGACATGTAATGTTTTCAGGTTGTGATGTGGCCAGAAGGTTGAAAACGTGAGACACTCCATGACTTGCTGCATTTCTGTTTTACCAGCACAGCACATATGTAACCAGCAAGAGGTAAGATTATACAAAAATGGGTATGCCTTCAGCAGTTCCTTCTGGATAACAGATACTTTGCTCTAGAATTCCAATACTGTTTGCTATTTTGTAGAATTAAATGAAAACCGCAAGATAAGAATCCTAAATATATTGAGACTACTTATCCCATGATGCAAGTCCTACATTCTGAAGTTTGTCTGGTTTAGCTGGATATTCCTGGTCTTAAAGAGGGTCCAAACAAAAACATAAAACAAAGAAAGTTATAGGATTTACATGCCACCTTGTCAGAGCCCCAAAATCTTTAGAAGAGGTAAAATACACAAACATAAGTTCTACATGACATTGATAAAAACAGTATCATTCACTTATCAATCAGATAATCTTCTGATGTATGTCAGAAGTAGCTGAAATTACACATACCTTTTGGACACTGAAGCCCAAAAACCAAACCCTGGCAAATGAAAAACACATCCATGTCCATGTAATACATGTTCTTCCATGTAAGCACCTAGTGTTTCTTGTTATATTTTGTAGATGAGCCTTCCCACATGCTCTGTCCTTCACAATCATACAGAATTTGCCTCAAGGAGTGAGCAAAGCAAAAAGGCCAAGGTGGGGAGAAGAAACAGGCAAATAAACTGAATAAAAAGGTCACTCTTCACCAAATGTACTTAATTTTGCCCAAAAGCAATCCCTAACTCAGTCTCTCAGCAAAGAAAAATCAACTGTATGGATACAGAAACTGCTGCTGAACAGAATTCCCTCAGGTTTCTCAGCTGCAGTGGAGCACAGATGTGAAATGAACATTCCCATTCCAGTGAATATACCCATTCCAGTCACAGTTCTGCACAAGAGTTTGAAGTTACCTGACTTCACAGTGCTGTTTGGCTGACGTGGCCCAGTATTATTCTGCCGTTTCTCTTCCAACAGCAGCCTCACATCTGCAACTTTCTCTGATGACCCTTTATTCCCAATCCGATTTTTGATGTTACTGGTTGCTATGCTGTCTGCTCGCATGGAGTTCCTAAAAAAAGTAATAGATTTAATGCCCCTCAAATGAAACAAAATCTTGTATAGTTCTCAAGTCTTCCTGTGTGTAAAATTGTATCATACAAAACAGTAATATCTGGATTTCTCTACTAAGAAATGGGGGTAAAAATATCCCTTAGAAAGGCATGTGTTCCAGCCAGCATCCTAAGTTTAGCCATAAGGACATGAGCACCTCAGCACTCACTCCAAGGCAGGTGTAGAGTTTGTGTCCTACAGGCTGTGCCCCTGGGTCAAAATCCAGAGCAGATAAGCAACCTCTAAGTTGTGAAAGCACTCAACATTATAATGAAGTACAACCATCCTCCTTAAGGGATGCATTTAAGTTATTTTAAAAACCTAACTATATGAGATTTTGGTTAATATGCCCATTATGAATGTAAATTCCTTTTGGTCATCAACAGTTAAGGGTTATTCTCCTTTCTGAGAAAAGAGGGAGGGGTAAAGGGAAAAGGGAGAGTTATTTCTCTCTGGCCTAGCTGTGAAGTGCAAGAAGTTAATTGTGCTTGCTTGCATAATTTTCTACTGATTCCACTTAGAGCTTCATTATTATTGATTGGCAGGGTTACAGAAATCTGCAAAGGAAGCTTTATTTTAAAAATACTAACTGCAATTAGAGCTAGTAGCTCTGCTTTATGTATTTTGTATTTCTTTTAAAAATTCCTACTACAAAATTATGTTCAGAATTGAAAAAGTAGCTTCAGTTTGTCTTTGAGCTTTGACAGCTCTGTCACTAATCAGAATGCCTTTTCATGGGTACTTTCAAATAATAGGAAACATTTACCTAATATTCTTCAGCTGTGACTCCACCTCATCTGCATACATGGTCATTTTCATGCTCTTTTTGGGAGAGGGAGTCGATATCATTTTCAGCTCCAGATCATAGTCCATCTCATCAGAATCAGAGGCACTGGCACTCGACCTCCTGGCGGCGCTGCGCTCTCGGGACTGCTTGAAAGCCTGCAGCTCATCCCGGTACTCCACCACAACCCTGTCATCTTCATCCATATCCTGATCTTCCTCCTCCTCTTCTTCCTCCTCAATGGGCTCCTCAGGAACATTGACTAAACCTGCAGCAAAGCAAACTGATCCTGATAATCTGAAGTTTCATATAGGGTACTTTAAATCCAAGACAAAAAAAAAAATCACTATAATAAATAACCCATTACAAATGAGTAGTTCTCTAAGGATAGAGAATGCACACCTCCTACCTTAGGGAGCAGATTAAGATATCAAAGCCTAATTAATAGAATTTTCTAATCTTCATTGATTTACATCTAGCTCTTGCTCTGTCACAGAACAGAAGAACTGACACAGTAAGTAGGACAAATTGGCAAGAAGTTTAAAGAAGTTATTCCCTCTTTTTGTCCTTGATGCTATAAGCTCCTGTGTCCTAAATTTGTAAAAGAAAAATATCACAGAAAAAAACGAGCAGCTATTTTGGTAAGCCAGTAAAGTGGCTGCCTCACTTATTTTCTGCAAACTCTTAAAATACGATTTGGTTAGAGATGTATTTTTTTAAAGTACACTTCCCTTCTTGCACTGCAGGAATTGGATGAGGCAGGGGGGGCCTTTCCAGCCCTCTATTCCCCAGCTGTGCTCCTACAGGCTCACATATTTGCATTAATTACCTGAGTGACGATGTTTGTAAGGAGGAGTCAAGCCAACATCATCCCCAATAAGTGTCCTTTTCTTTATCACATCCCGATGGATTCGACGGGAATGGTATCTTCGCTTCCTGAAACACCAAAAAGAGTCACATTCCTGTCACAGAAAAGGCATCAATCAGCTCTATCCAGTCCTGGATTAAGCATATGCAATTATCACTCACTTTACTAGAAGACATACATTCATGTCAGAGATCTCTTCTGAATGTTTTGAATGTAAACTTTATTTTCATGAGAAAACACCCCCCTTGCAGATTCAGTCACATTCCAAAAACACTATTTACATATAAAATGCATCTCCATAAATTGAATAGAAAGAAAATCCACAAATTAAAACAGGTTTAGATTATCTTGTCCAATTACCTGGAATGCTCCAACTCCTCTATTCAATACTCACCAAGAATTGCTAAGAATCCCCTTCATGCCTCCATAATTGGGGTTGCCATACTTCATGTAATACTGGCTTCGCCTTGCAGCTCCCAGCTCCTTCTTGTCATCTGAAAAAAACATCAATTAAAGGAATATTTCCCTCTTTGAATCTTACAACACCTGCATACAAATAAACAACTATCCAGGCAAAGACACAGTGAAAGTAAGGCTGAAAGTGTCCTACAGATCAGCCTCACTTCAGTCTCCTTCATGAAGGGTACAATGTTGCTGACACCTCCGCAATTTCTCCTCCCACCACAGGGTTATTTATGTCTGGAAACTTAATTCTAGGGAGACTGAGTTTCTGTGTATCAGCTCAAAAGAGCATCACATCCCCTTGTAACTGCTGGAAGCTACACTTACCTTACTTTGACCTTTCTTTATGGATGTGTCGCTTCCCAGATGGCCCAGAAATTATACAGTTTTTTCATTTTAGTCATAAATTTTAATATCTTAACTGTACTAATACCTCTCTAATATAATAACTCATGAGCATCTCAAATTATTTTCAGATTTATAAAAATATGAATTACCTCTGTGGAGGACACCAGAAAACCAATTGTGTGGTACTGGGAAGAATGCTCTGAGCCCAAGATAAAAGGTTTTAGGTGCAAGCATTTTCATACAGCTTGTACTGGATTTAATTCACATGTGAAATGTGGATTTATTTTAAAATCTTAATGCCTAATTATTAGCAAAAGTGCTAACAATTTTGCAAAAGATACTTTGAGTCATTCATTAGTCAACAAATAAAACTAAAACAAGCAATTAATTCATTATGCTTGTTAAGCTGTTCATTTACCTTTAGTAGCAAATCTCATGAATAGCTTGTTTCCTTTAGCCAGTTTATTGGCAGGGCGAAGATCATTACGCAGGAGAGAATCCTCTTCTACCTGGGAGAGGGCATCCAACTTGGGGGGGCAAAAAAGGTATTTTGGACTCAAGAATAAAATGACTGTGGAATGAAAATGGATTGCCTACAGAGAAGCAATCAACTAATCACTAAGAAAGTTACTTTTCAAATTATGTTCAAACGAACTCTGCGTTTTCTTGCTTGACAAACTAAATGTCCATTTTTAAATTTGCTTCCTAACATTTATCTCAGATTATTAAATCCAATTGTTTTCAAATGACAAACTACCGACAAAATGCAGAAAATAAATAACACAACTCAAGACACTGAAAAAATGTTTTCTTGTTTCATACCTAAATGGCTTTACTAACAGGTTCTCATGCCCTCAAACAACAAAAGGTGTTTTTTCATTTATGTCTGATATATATAAATTAAAATTCATATTTCTAGGATGTATAAGTGTTCACTGAGCCATTTGTAAAGAAAACACTAATCACATCTATCATATACTCAGCCAATGAAGATTAAATTACATAGAAAACATCAACGTGTATGCTGCTTCCCACACATCCAAGGGACAGCCTGCATCCTGGTTGTCTCTGGAAGCACAGCCTTCCCTGCTGAGAGGCCATTGTCCTCCATGACTGTCCTTTCCTTGCCTCCTCTCAGCAGAGCAGAACAGCCAGTCTAGCTGTCACCTGCTGGATGCCCCATCACTCTTCTAGATCCCCTTGGACAAACACTCTCACATAGCTGCTCTCACCAACAGCACACCTGCACTTCCTGTCATTTGCCCATCTAATCTACTTTGACAATTAAACTGTGAATTGCAAATATATATTGTTAAACCTATAATGTTAGGAAGACTTTACACAGATCAGAGCAAAACTTTCATAACACTGTTTTTGCTTTCTTTCTGTACTGACCTCAACATCACTTGGGTTGTCATCCTCAACCTCGCCTTCTTCCGTCTCATCGTCAGAACTTTCCTCCTGTTTTTCTAAGAAGAAAAATATTTGGGGATAAAACATAACCTCCAATTTAGTGTATCAGTCACATTACCTACATTCTCTGTAATCAAACTGCAGGAGTTATCCTTTCCCCTCTACAGTCTAAAGAATAATCAAAATGATGAATGCCTACATCAATCTGAAGCACACAGGAGCACAGAGCAGCATGAACAGGACAGCCCCTGTGCAGGTATCTGCCTACAGCAGCACACACTGATTATTAACTTAATTACTTGAAAGCAAATGAAATTGCACTGCATGTCAGGGTGTGACAGAGATGAGACAGGCCAAGACTTACAAAAGCCTGTTTCCTTCAGCCTCCCATGAAAATGCTGCAAGTACCTACAAGCATCCAAGATTAACCATGTAAAACAGGTTATGTTATTCAAAAGCTTTCAGGTGTATGAGAAAGCAGGAGATTTAAAAAAACAACAACAAAACAAACACAAACAACCTTAATGACTTAATTTCAAAGTGAAATAACTAAGAGAAGTGCACACACTTCCAGACTACTAAATGTATGAGATGCTTGCACAGAATCGTCAGGGTTCTTCCTTGCTAGAGTAAGAAAATTGGAGTTTTTTTTTTCCAGTCCTAAAAAAACCAAAAGTGAATATGGACACATTAACATATACCAGTATCATCTGCAAAGATCTCAAAGCACTTCATAGACATATGACTTGGGTAGATTGGATCATTGGGCCAGTGTCAATGGTCTGGGCTTCAACAAGGCCAAGCGCTGAGTCCTGCACTTGGGCCACAACAACCCCAGGCAACACTCCAGGCTTGGGGAACTGTGGCTGGAAAGTGTCTGCAGAAAAAGAGCTGGGGGTTCTAATTGACAGGTGGCTGAATATGAGCCAGTGTGTGCCCAGGGGGCCAAGAAAGCCAGTGGCATCCTGGCCTGTATTGGAAATAGTGTGAGCAGCAGAAGTAGAGAGGTGATTGTCCCCCTGTCCTCAGCACTGGTGAGGCCACACCTGGAGTGTTGTGTCCAGTTTGGGGCACCTCAATTCAAGAGAGATCTCGAGGTGCTGGAGCAAGGACAGAGGAGGCAATGAAGCTGGGGAAGGGCCTGGAGAATCAATCTGATGAAGAAGGCTTGAAGGAGCTGGGGATGTTTAGTGTGAGGAAGAGGAGGCTGAGGAGAGACCTTGTCAGTCTCTACAACTACCTGGAAGGTCATTGTAGAGAGGTTGGTGCTGGTCTCTTCTCACAGGTAATTAGCAACAGAACAAGAGGGAAGGGCTTCAAGCTGCACCAGGGGAGGTTCACACTGGACAGTAGGGAAAAAAAAAATTCACAGAAAGAGTGTTGAACTCGGTGATCCCAAGGGGCTTTTCCAACCTGAATAGTTCTATGATTCTATGACTAATAAAAAAAAATAAAATGTATTTTGGAGTTCTGATCTTATTCTTAATCTCACCCAACAATACACATGAAAACTTAAAATAGAGACCAGCAGCTGTTCAAAAGGTCCTGACAACATAAAAATGTTCAAGGAAACAAGCAAAGCACAATTAACCAAACTGAAACCAAAGAGGGAGTGCAGGTAAACAAAGGAGCCAAACTGAAACCTGAATAATTAAGTTCCCTCGGGGAGAGCATTCAAACACCTTTTTTCCCCCCCCAAATGATAAGATTCTCACACATCTCACAGCAAAGACTAGTCTTTCACTTCCCCAAATGTCTAAACAGCCCTCAAATTCCTGCCTAAGAAAGGAATGTCAGATTACTCCAGTGTATCTTTATGCATCTCACCCCTTAAGGTGTAACTGAACAATCTGTACTTTATCTAATATCCCACTTTTCCAGACAAAGAACTTAATGTAGGAGTAATTTAGGTAACAGGTTTTGAGATGTGCTGTAATGATGATGCAATAAGCAATTTGTAGCAAAAAAGATTAAATACATATATTTATGCTCTACTGAAACAAGACAGTCGCTCATCTCCAAAAACTTCTTAAGAAGTCTTACTTGAAGCATTATCAACATTTGCCCCACAATTAAAGTCACATGGATGGTTGAGGAGCCACTGTATTGTAGAGAAAAGCAACAAGAAAAGTGAATGAGTTAGAAGGATCCAAAAGTTGAACAAAGCCCTAAACCCCACTCTTTCTAGAAAGGTTTTTGGTAGCACTGCACATATCTACTAGAGAGACTGACTACTTGCATTTTCTTCAAACATGGTGTCTAAGCAAAATCTATGGAAGAATAAATAAACACATCTCTCTTTGCTTTGTACTATGAAGTGCAGCACTTTGAACCACAGCAATTCATCACACTACTGGAACACCCCAACAACCCTGAGGTAGCAAAAGTCTGATTTTTAATTTATGCCCACAAAAGTAAAATTAATATACAATGAAGGCATTAAGATACCAGATTTACCACAACATTAAGATGTACTTTCAATACTTTGCTCTCTTACAACTGACCTCTCATTGTGCTTCTCTTATGAAAGTATAATGGTCACATTTAGAGATGCTGCACACCGGGGTGAAGTGACACCCTGATACGTCAGTGTGAATGATACAGTTAAAGGGTGATGCTGCATCAAGAAAGGAAGGAACTCTGGCATTTTCCAACATCAGCTTTTTCCACAGGTAGAATCCATCCCTTTCCTGCCCTCATATGCACATCACAGTTTTCTGTGCAAGACGTACCACTATAAATGTCACATCTGAGTGTGACCCTGCATCTAACACGTTCAGTATCGACTGAGTTACTGCTTTTGGTCTAGCTCCAACCCACCTTTTAAGAAGCAGCTTCTTCAAAAGGTTTCCAAGATGAAAGCCTTTTTTAAAGTGGCAGAATACATTTACCTGAAACTATATGATAGAAGCTCCTTCAGTAATTTAGATTATGTAGCACCCAAGCACAAGTTTAAAGCTTCATTCATTTAACTAGATGATGTCTGTATATGCATATCTCCATCTACCTTTCTTGGGTTTTTCAGCTGTCTTCTCTTCATTGTTTTCTCTGCTTTTTGTTTTCTCCTGATCAGGCAAGGAACTCATATTTATTAGAGCCCGTGTTGCTGTTACTTCATCAAGCCAGACCACGTTACCTATGACATATAAACACATACAAAACCAAAACATAGTTTGTATAACCAACAGTCACATGCACTATCTTACTGGGGTGAAATCACTAACAGAAGTTCAGAAATGTTCTTATATAGTGACATGACAAAAAAAGTAACCAGAGACAACTCTTGCAGAGGAGGTTATATTTTTAACACCCTTGATAAGCTGGGGATGCAGTTTCATCACATTAACAAAAACAACACACACAGCTGGTGTAAACCAAAATCACTGTGCATTAGACTGCTTCCTGAGCACACAAATCACGATATCCAATCAAGGTCTGTGAACTTCATGTTAGCACACAAGTGTGATTAAAGGGGGAAAAGAAAAGGGAAAAAAATTAAGAAGCCAGAATCTCAGACCTTACTGCAGAATTCTGGTAACCTTTTCCAGAAAGCAGGAAAATAGAGGAAAATAGAAGAGGCTGCTCAAGCACAGGTCATAGTGTACACAGGTTAACAAGATGATTCAGGACATGCCTCTCACACACACGTAGCAGCAGATGATACCACAGTGTAACTTATTAGACTAATTAAAAGCATTTTGCAGCTGCTGAAATTGTAAGAGTTAAAACTGCTTAGAAACAGGTTTTTAACAGAAGCTTTATGCACGGATGCATTCAATGCAAATACAGCAACAAATGCTTAACAGCAGAGCAGTAGCTGACAGAGTGTATTCAGGTACCAAGAAAAATACACAGTATCCCAAATAAAAGAATAGCTCTTAAATTACTTAAGCAGAGAAGATTTACATGGTAAAGAACACCAGGATATTGACTTGAATGCCTGGCTAATAACTTTTCATTTAAATATGCCTAGCTGCTCTTCATATCTCCACATTTTCAAAGCCTTTAGCATTTTATGTTAATCAGTTTGACACACTGAGCAGTGTCTAAATTCCCCTTTGCATTAGGACACCTTGAGATGACATTCAGCTGGGAATATTCAGGTTTTTTGCCATGCTGTGAAGCAAACCTATGCTGAAAAGACAGTGATTTTTCCTTAATATTTTCATCAAGTGTAGTCAGCATGCTCTCAGACACAGCATGTAAATTCATCACTAAAAGAGATGTATTTTAACTGTAATTGGGCAAACTGCTGTTCTGACTCTGAAGCCTGAATTTCTGCACTGCAGATCCCTCTGGCTCCACGAGAAATTGATGCATGTAACACTTAAGAAAAAGGACAGCCAGACAACTTTAAAAATGTAGAATCAGCCACAGAGTTAAGCTCTACAATTGCTACCTTATGATCACCACAGGTTCATCTAGCAGCTCTTCACTGCAGTTCTCCTCCTAGGACACACTGCCTCTCAAATTTCCTGTCAGCCTGTGGCAGCATCTCAAGGTGTCCCACACAGCACTTCAAGGTTATCTGTTTTCTCTAGCACACCATCTCTTGTCTAGCACTCAAATGTAATTCCTCCAGGGTCATGCCAGGTAACCATGCTACTAATTGTCAGCCATGCTTGTCAATGAACCAGCTTCCAGCAATTCCAATCCAACTGGAAAACCTGCACTGGCTTCTGCTTCTTTTTTTACTACTTCAGTTACAGGGTTTCCAGTCACATGAGTCTCAGAGCCTTCCAGTGCCACGATCCAGTGCCCAACTGCAGCAAGAAACTCTTGCACAGTCTTCAGCATCGCTGCAGGAAGTGTGACTGTCAACAGCCTTCTTTCCTCCTGGCAATCTCATCGTGTGCTTACTCCTCAAAAAAGCCCTTCCAATGGAAATGTACATTCCTTTTCCAATCTATGTAAATCACTCTCAGATGCTACCTTCTTCCACCCACCAATTCCTCCTTTGGACTGCATTAAATACAACAACAAGTCTGCTCCTTCACAGCACAAAACCACACCAACCTGCCTGACTGCACACGGCTCAAATACCTTCTCAGAACAAGCAGTTACACTATTTATGCCAAGGTGCAAGTAGCACAAGATTGTAGTGCTTTTTTTTTATCCACTTGGAGACCTGCAAGTTATTCCAGCTATCTCTTTGCAATAATAATACTCAACCAGGCAGCAGGTTTGATTTTCACCTTATGCTGTTTATTCTTTCCTTCTAAACCTCATTTGACTAAGGTGAAAGACAGGGAAATTGAGACAGGCAAAGCTCAGGGACTTGGAAACCACAAAGACATCTGAAGTACAGATATGACTGAAATTGGAAAAAAAGTAAGAATTACAGATAGAGATTGTTTACTCACATGATGTATCGTCTAACCACTCAATATGAGCAGGAGGATATTCTTTGAAATAGGCAAAGATGTCCTGTGTACTCATCTCATCTACCCCACAAATGTAAATTGTGTCCAGTCTCACTTTAGGAATTGCTGCAAAGAGAAAGTGATACAAGACCAGTTCTCATTTCTGCAGAGCAAGCTTTTGTATTGGTAACATATGGGTAGCAAACATTTTAGATAAGCTAAAAGGAAGACAATTAGAGCAAAGTATGATGTACACCATTCTAAAGTACCATAACTTGAATTATTATTCCACAATGCAAATCTTTAATAAATTGAGAGTTAAGAAGAGGTAACACTGGCAGCTGCAGGTACTGCACAGCAATCAAACTGCCTTAAAAACATTTTTTTTCAATGCTGTCATTGCTGCACTGTGCTGTCACAAGTACTGCCATTAAATACCAAAGAGCAGGGAGAGCTCAGGGCTGTGAGCACGACCTGTTCAAAGCACTCCCACTTGGATCATCTGATGCAGAGCTGTTATGGGCCACAGATTAGCGGGTCCAAGCTGCCAGATGGAAAAAAAAAAAAAAAAAGCCTGGAGAGCTCACTGGATGCCAAAAGCACCAATGTGTTGTGCATTCATCTCCTGGCTGATCTGCTTAGGCTCCAACATGGCCAGCCTGCCCCCTCAGAGCACACGGGCCACCAGCCCAGCTGCGCTGTGCGTACAGCCCGGGATGTCACCTCGCTGTGCACAGGACACACACTGCTCAGCTCTGGCCTTTTCAAAGAATTTAAAGATCCTTAAAGATCCTTTAAGGATCCTGAGGGTGAACCTTAGGCACGTAGCACTAGGAGCCATTGCCAAACTGTACATCAGGTACACAATAAATGTCAACAACTTCCTTCTGGGGCTGGTAAAATGAGAAGCGAAATGGTAATTGTCAAGTAGCTTAAAAAGCAGTGACATTAAAATAAAAAGGTGGGGAAAAACCCCAAAGTGACATTTGAACAGTTTCCCAAGGAAGTGGTGGATTCCCTCACAATGGACAGTTTGAAGTCTCAGCTGGACAGGGTGCTGAGCCACCTCATATGGTAGTACCTAGAAAGGTTGGACCAGATGATCCTTGAGGTCCCTTCCAACCTGGCATTCTAGGATTCTATGATCTCTTTAGATAATGACCTAGGAAAACCCCTGGGGATGAAGGAAATAGTATAAATCAAGTAAAAGAAATGTGAGGAAGTAAACAACAGAATCTTTTCTTCTTAACTGCTACATAAACTCATACCTTTCTTCATCATGTCCCGATCCAGAGCCACATTCCTTTGGGCAAGATTCACTTCAGCTCGAAAATGGAAGCGTTTGGCTCTTTGCTCCTTCTTCTCAATTGCTTCCTGCAAAATGGAAAACAATGCAGTCAAAGCAGGAATCACAGCAGCATTCCCAAGAACACATTTCAAATAAAATTTACCAGATAGCAACCATCTATAGTAATAATTTTGTACAGGTCTCTTCAGAATCAATGTTTCAGAATGCAGAAATAATTCACTAAAGCGTCTCTCTGCCAAGGAATAGCTCTAAAGTAGGTCCAGCAACATCGTGGGCATCAAGAGACATGGAAAAGAAGGTATTTTGGGCAGTGCTCAGACTCCAGGATGGAGCAGCAACATTATCTTTTCCTTCCTAGCAAGTGTCCAGAGTCTGGGCTCAAAAAAAGGTCTGTTAAAACAAGCATTTCCACCACATGGAAAATGGGTCTTTTTAAGATTACAGGGATTTTTCCCCACCTGTCTTTTAAATAGACATAAAAATGTGAACTTGTCTCTATCAGCATGAATTTACCAACTCCACCTGGAGTGCTGAGTACAAAGATCTTATTTAGACTAGAAATTCAAGCTGCTTTTAAAGTAGCTCATGAGCAACAGCTGATGTGGATCTTGTCTAATTTCTGAAACTGACTGAGAAGCTCCTTATTTTACAGAACCAATTAGAAAGAATTAGAGATTTTTGGATCTTGCTATCCAAACTTAGAACACAAACTGTAAGTAAGCAAAAACTGCCACCAATGATAATAAAAATGGGCTTTTTACTAGTTTTACAAGGTTGCCAAAACATATTTGACCAAATTTCTGGAAGTTTTTTAGAACGGCATTGTTAAAGAACATAACAAGATAGAGCTTTCTGCTGAGTAGGGAAACTGCAAAGTGTGTTGAATTCCAATACACACACACACACACACAAAATATTGAAGCCAAAAAGCTGATTTTTAGTCTTCATCTGAAACCCTTTCCACACTCTTTGATAGGCACAATCTTCTGAGCTTCAGTAAAGCAAAATGGGAATTCATATAATTTGTCAACACACTGTTGGAATGAGGATTTGTACTTGTTAGAACAAGCAAAACTGTCTCAGTCCTAGAAAGCAGGTGTGACTAAAAGCTTTTTCTCTATCTAGATCCAGTGGTCTGTTTCACAGCCTGAAACAACAGCCAATCCACTATTCCATGTACAGAGAGGATTCAGTTCCACAGAATGCTGTAACTTTATTTAAATGCAACAGCTGTTCACATTCTTCAAACTGTGTCTTAAATAATTAAACAATAAGATGCCCTTGGAAGATACGAGGCAAGGAAACTAGATTTTCCTGCCAAGCACTTGTGCTTCCTTCTGTCACTCACCCAAGAGGAAAACCCACAGCTGGCTTGTCCCAAAGGGCTTTGTTTGGCACTACCAAGTGGTATCAAGGCAACTCCAACAGAAATGTTTTCAGGTTTTGGCACACACATTTTCTGTAAATTAAAGATGCTCTTTCTCCCCATTTACAAGAGATTTTCAAGCCACAACCAACAAAAGGAGAATTCCCAGGCTGCTGAAAAATGCCAGCTCTCTGAACACAAAGTGAAGCTTCTGTGCACATTGGGGAAGAAATCAGTGAAATGGTTTCTCCTTTCCAGTACAAATAATTAGAATATGTTGAAGAACTATAGCACAAAAATTACCTTGGATGTTACATCTATTCCAGTAATGAAACTTCCAGCCTTGTTTTCATATCTTCTGCTCGTGTCCTGAAACAAAGCAAAATGGAGATAAAATCTCAGTGAACACTGAAAGCAACTGACTTGCTATGCTGAAAAAAAGCCCTGGCCATTTCTAGGAGAAATACATCCTCTTCTCCTTCAGCCAAATTACATCCCTAGACAAACAGGTACACAAACAGTGACTCTCACTGATGTCAGTAAAGGTAAAAGCAGATGAACTAACCCAAACTTCCTGTACTGTAAGAGTTCTTTCCTTTGGCAAAAGGCAGTTCCTGTGTCTGCCTCTGCTAAGGTTTTACTTATTCTCCCTCAGCAATACAGGGGAAGTCATCAAACACCTTTCCTAATTCAAACTTCCATAATTTTGGTTTTAGGTAGAATTTCCATGTAACACATGAACAGATTGAGCAGTGATACCTGACTCCTGAAGTGCCAACTCACAGCTGTTAGCCTCAAAACCCAGACCACCAAGCCATATCCACAATTTCACAAGTAACTGTTACCCCCACTCCCATTTACTATTTCAAACCCATCTCCCAAATACCTGCAAGATGCAACGTTACTGTTTTGATACAGCCCTTCTGATGAAGGGCTAAACTGGAGAATGATGTGGAAAATTAAATGTACAAGTTTAATTTCCATCAATCAGGACTGCTGAATTCACAAGGCTGCACTAAACCACACAGTCCCTGGACCAGTGACCCAATTCTGTCCCTTCTATAGCTTGTGTGTGTAAAAAAGGCACCTCTTCATTCTGGCACCCTGAGGATTATCAGCTGGCAAAACTTTGGGGCTGGAAGAACATGTCATGTGTTCTCTAGGGATAAATGTTTTGTTTATGCTTGTACTGCAATAATTGTTTTGACTAAAGCACTTCTTCTAGAAAGTAGGCCAGTCTCAGTTCAGAGCTACCAAAGCACAAAAAATCAAGCCACTTTTCTTAGGAGTAGCATCAAAGTTTATCTAAAGTTCACAAATATTTAGTTATTAAAAAGCAAAACAAACACTATTTTTTAAATTAAAAACCACTCCTGGTCCAAGACTGACTCATGGATCACAAGGAAGTGCAGCACACAAGTTTTGAGAGCAAAAGACTACTTAGGAGTTTAGAAGAATTGTGACTCCTTTTTAGGTATTAAACCTGATCCTACTAAAACTTGCACAGGAGCAATAAGCAAAAAATGAAGAAGGGGAGAAGAAAAATAGAAAGGAAACCCATAAAATCCACTCATCAGAGCCCGCATTCCCAGTGCCCCAAACTCAGGTCTCCCTCAGTCATACCCTGCTCCAGGTATTCCCTACGTTCCCGGCACCAGACACCCATTTTCCACGCGCTCCCACCCGCAGCCCAGCACTGCACCCCAAGCCCCCTGTTCCACCACCGCCTTCATTCCCTTTGCTCCCCAGGCCCCTCGGCCGCTCCCACTCACCCTGTGCCCTCACACCCCCCCCCGACACCCCTG